GAAACATTTTTTAAATTTTGAGGTAGTGTGGGCTGGTATATCATAACAATATTCATTCGCCTAAGGACAATTTTAGCAACAATTTTGCCGACTTAATAAATATATATTATGTACCTGTATATACCTTCGAACTTCGACTTCGAAGTTGAGTCATTTATTTTAACAGTGAGTAGATCTGATCAAGAGAAATGTTTTTTTCCTTTACCATTTTTCTGGTAAAATTAAAGTAACAAAGTTATAGCCCTTTGGAAGATTGAGTACCGCCCTGTCTCAATAATAATATCATGTGCTCGTGTTTGGCAACAACGGATATAATCCGCCTTATCGGTTCATCGCACCGGAAACAAAAAAGCGAAAGAATTTGGAACGATGTTTTTACAATTATTTTATTCAGTTCAGTTATACATACAGTCAGTGTCAATCGGTAACGCGTGTGAATAGTGTCTGTTGCGTGGCTCAAACGAAATAAAAAATGGCACATGTTTATGCGGATCGGTTTCCCAATCGAGTGCAACCAACCCCTCGTGCCTTTGTTAATGTAGTACAACGGGCTCGTGAATCAGGTGACTTAAGACCTCACAGGGGACGTCACGATCAAATACAGGTCCGCACTGAAATACTTGTCGGAAGGATACTTTATAAAACAAGGTAAACATTTTTTTTAATTTTTTTTTTATTTTTACACACATATTTTGGTTTATCTTCCTTCTACAATCATTATCTAAAAATTAATGACTCAACTTCAAAGTATATACAATTACTTGTTAATTGGGAAATTGGCAAATCTTTTAGGCTTAAGTTGACTCTTTTGACGATAAAATCAAGCTTTCGGCATTCTCTATGGAGCCTTCATCAGGATTTCGTCGGTGAGGTTGCAGCCACAAGGTGTTTCAAATCGAACGTACAGAAGATCGAACTTGTAATCAGTATAAAAACAAAAGGACGGGGACATTGGGCTTGTTGAAAAACGACAGATACCTTCATTACATGTTAAAAATATCAATCCACCTGAACAAATTAAAAAGTATTACACGTGAGAAGACATTTTGGTGAAAAAAATGTCCCCGTCTTTTTGTTTTTATATTGATTACAAGTTCGACCTTCTCTACGTTCGTTTTGAAACACCTTGTGGCTGCAACCTCACCGACGAAATCCTGATGAAGGCTTCATAGAGAATGCCGAAAGCTTGATTTTATCGTCAAAAGAGTCAACTTAAGCCTTAAAAATTTGCCAAATTTCCCAATTAACAATTAATTGTATTTTGTGCCCAACTGGTCGTTGGCTTTGGCAATGACTACTGCTCACGTATACAGGGTGACTTTGAAGTTGAGTCATTAATTTTCAGATAATGATTGTAGAAGGAAGATAAACCAAAATATGTGTGTAAAAATAAAAAAAAAATAAAAAAATTTTTTTACCTTGTTTTATAAAGTATCCTCCCAACAAGTATTTCAGTGCGGACCTGTATTTGATCGTGAGGTACCCTGTGAGGTCTTAAGTCACCTGATTCACGAGCCCGTTGTACTACATTAACAAAGGCACGAGGGGTTGGTTGCACTCGATTGGGAAACCGATCCGCATAAACATGTGCCATTTTTTATTTCGTTTGAGCCACGCAACAGGCACTATTCACACGCGACTGACACTGAATGTATGTATAACTGAACTGAATGAAATAAAAACGTCGTTCCAAATTCTTTCGCTTTTTTGTTTCCCATGCGATGAACCGATAAGGTGGATTATATCCGTTGTTGCCAAACACGAGTACATGATATTATTATTGAGACAGGGCGGTACTCAAACTTCCAAAGGGCTATAACTTTGTTACTTTAATTTTACCAGAAAAATGGTAAAGGAAAAAAACATTTCTTTTGATCAGATCTACTCACTGTTAAAATAAATGACTCAACTTCGAAGTCACCCTGTATATATATATATATACAGGGTGTCCGGTGTCCTTTACACGACGTGTAGATCTTGAAAACATAACAATTTTTCTTAGTAGTTTTATACACCAATGTCTTAAGGGAACCGAGATAAAGGGCTCTGCAACATCAAAAATATCTGAATACCGTCCTGTAGCCGCGACATCCCCCCGTGGTACTACGACACTAGCTCAACCCGACGACAGAACTGGGTCGGGGTCAGTGTGTCAGGTCAGTATGCAACCTTCAACCGACGGTTACGGTCACGCGTGTAGAGGTAAACGAACCCGAATAATCGATTGCGTTTCAAAAAACAACAAGCACTAGAGACGTGGCTAGAGAAGTGCAAGTATCAAAAACTAAAGTGTGTCAAACGCTGCGTGAAGAGAGGCTGTATCCGTTTCACGTCCAACGTGTACAAGCCCTTTAACCTGACGATTTTCCAGCAAAAGTGTGGTTTCGTGAGTAGTTGTTGCATCAACATGACAACAATCCGGACTTTTTGAAGTGAATATTGGTGACAGACGAATCTACGTTCTCGCGTAATGGGGTGAATAACGTTCGCAACACTCATGTTTGGTCAGTAGAAAATCCGCACGCTGTCCATCGGGCACATTTTCAACAAACATTTTCGGTGAATGTTTGGGCTGGCATGGTGAACGGTATGCTCATTGGACCATTTATTCTCCCAACTCGATTGGACGGGATGCAATACCTAGACTTTTCACGCAACATTTTGCCTTCCTTGTTAGAAGATGTGCCATTAAGTGTAAGACAATCAATGTGGTTTCTGCACGATGGTCGGTAGCGCATCAGCTGATTTCATTTTCTGTTGGAGCGGTATGCTTTCGGGCAGAGACGTACTTAGCCCTTCTCGTCAACCTGAGAGTGATTACTTTTTCCTTTATTTTTTTTTTACTTGGTCGCCCTCGTTTCACTAGACATTACCTTTGTTATTTCAAGGGTAGTTGTTTCTGAAAAGGAAAACACCAACTTTGCGGACACCTTGTATATTCACAGTTAAACTGCCTAACTCGTTAGGAGGAAGTATCCTTGAATTTAGGTAAAGACACAGTTTGGCATAGGAACACTCTTTTAACTTAAACTCTAGCATTCGATGGTCTATGCTATCATCATCAGGAGCTAAAAACAAAATTTCGAAGTAGCAACAATAAGCAATCTTTTCTTAATAAGTCGGCGAGATTGCGATATTTGCATACCAGTTTTGTATTATTGCACCAAAGAAATGTGTATTATCTACATCTTCAGTATTTTGCAATATTTTACCATGTAAAGATGTTGAACATGTTGTATCATGGCATTGTCTCCGTGCATAGGTTGGAGCAATTACCAACAAAATTAATATTTTGCAAATAATCCAAAATCAGTTTTTGATAATCATTTTCATCTCAGGCAACTCCTTTTTCAAAATGTTGTGGTCTATCCGTTTAAAAATAGAAGAGGCCTTATTACATTCAAACACACGTATGAAATAAGATAAGTCAAATACATTGGAAGGATCCAATTTACATCAAAAACTGTACGTCAAAGATCCTTTAGTTACCTCTTCACCAGACCTTAAAACCTCCTACGAAGTCTTACAAAATATACGAGGGATGTCTTTTAAGTTTTGCATATAGAAAGATAGTAGGCCGCGCGGATCGAACGTCAGTACTGAATCTTAACCTCACTCTTTAGTAAACTTAAATTCAAAGTTTCACAACAATACGTGTAGTGTTCTCACTACAGTGAATTTTTAAGTGTTACCAAGTCATTAGAAAAATGGAACTCAACCGAGAACATTTTCGCGCCATAACTTATTACAACTTTCAGAGACAATTATCGCAACAAGAATGCCTTGCTGAGTTACTGTCTCATTTCGGCAACGAAGCGCCACATTAGTCGACAATTTCCCGTTGGTATGGAGAACCCAAAACGTGGACGGTGAGTCTTAGCGACGATCCCAGGGTGGGGGCACCCAGGAGAACGTCAATGCTGTGCGAAAACTCATCAATGAAGATAGACATGTGACATATCGCGAGATTGAGGCGTCCTTGAAGATCTCAAAGACCTCAATTCAAAAAATTATACATGAAGAATTAGGAGTAAGAAAATTAGGTTCTCGTTGGATACCCCACCTGTTGACTGAAGAGCAGAAAGCAGCCAGGGTAATTGGTGTCAAAAAACGCTTGATCGTTTCAATTCCGGAAACTCAAAAAATGTGTACAGCATTGTTATGAAAATAAACGACATTCGGCTGTTTGGGTGTTCCAAGGTAAATAAAATCCAACAAAAGTCATCCGTTCCCGAAGTGTTTCGATGAAGATGGTCGCGACATTTGTGTCAAAAGCGGGTCATATTGCAACAATTCCTCTTAATGAGCAAAGAACTGTTACTGCGGATTGGCATACCATCACTTGTTTGACAAATGTTATCACCGAGCTTCGAAAAATCAACCCCGAAAGAAGAATCATTTTCCACCAAGACAATGCAAGCTCGCACACAGCCCAAAAAACAAGGCAGTATTTAACGGAAGAAAACGTTGAATTATTGGACCATCCTCCATATAGTCCCGATCTAAGTCCTAACGATTTCTTTACTTTCCCGAAAATTAAAAACAGACTGCATGGTCAAAGGTTCCAGTCACCAGAAGAAGCAGTTGACGTATTTAAAAGTGCAGTTTTGGATCTGCCAGCAAACGAGTGGAATAAGTGCTTCGAAAATTGGTTAGAGCGCATGCAGATGTGTATTAATCTTCGTGAAGAATACTTCGAAAAACAATAAAGTCATTTAAAACTACCTACTGTGTTGTTTTATTTCCATATGCAAAACTTAAAATACATCCCTCGTATTTAAATCAGAAGTAAATAATATGAAATAGCAAAGCTCATCCAAATTAAAGTTATCTATCTTTTTATTTTTTAGTACTTCACGCGAAAACACAAAGCCTCCTTAATGCTTTTCTAAATCTTAACATTTGAAACTTCACTTGAACTATAACCATAAAAGTAGCATCGACTTGTTGAAGCCTACGGAATAAAATTATGTCTAGAAGGGGCTCGTGATGTAGATTACCTGTCTTGTATTCTTTCTCCACATCCTGCACACGTAGACGCTTCGACAGTGGATGAACCGCCCAGACTAGAGCAAGGAGAGGAGATGCTTCTTTCCAGGCTCTCTCGTTCTTTGAGCATCATGAGGGAAACTTCTCAAGGCTGAAAGTCTGCACAGAAGAAAAATAAGGTGAGTTCGCCTATATTAAAATTAAAGAAATTAACAATTCTCAGGGACCACATATCGATATAGACCAGTCAGGAGAGGAAGGAAATTGGTTAAAAAAATTGAGTTTCAAGAAGTTCCAGAACAGAAGCGGCCTTTTCAGCTATTTCAGATAACTTCCGCCTTTTGCAATAATTTGGAGGCCTATATTGAGTTGAAATACTACTCTATCCAGAGTATATTACTCAATATTCGGATTCTACATAAAATTCTAATCACATTTCAGGAATAATCTCCTATACCCAAGTCTAGCCGTTTTTGACATATTTCAAATTTTATGTCAAAAATGATGTTTGCAGGCCCTAAAATAATTGTTCATTCCCCCTATGTAGAAAACCTTATTGTTTAATGTTGATTGATTGTCTAGTAAACAAGAATATAGATTAATACACTTTGTATAATATTCCGATAATTACTTTTACAGGGTGGTAAAGAGATTAGCATAAAAATTGAATGTCAAAAATTGCCAAAAGTCGATTTTTTTTCAAATGAAAACCTCTATTTTTATAAGTTTATCGCATCAAGCATTAAAAATTAAGCGTAACTTTATACAGGGTTACCTATCCCAAAAATGTTTACTTTTCGAGTTTGCAATTTATTACTTTTCTATTGTAAGACTCCTTTAAGTACAGATTTAGTTTTTTAATTAGTTGACTATGACGGCGGGATGCAGATAATAAACAATTGAGCCCTACAGAAATATCACTACATCTAAGCGTTTAATGTAATAATTTTCATGTATTCGTAATCAGAATAATATGAAGACTAATTATGATAAGTTTGATAGTAGATTTCCAAACAAGCACATATACAGTGAAATGTATAACAGGAAACAATGAGTTATTCGATTTATTTCACTTTCATACTATTATAAAACTAATTAAAACATAACAAGAAACCACTTATTTTGGTAAATGTTCAAAATAACCACCCCTAACTTCCATACATCTAATATTTTTTATTGTCCCCCATATAAAGTAGTCCAAGAGTGTTATATCTGGCGAACGGGGCGGCCACTTGAATGGTCCATTATATTAGCAAACCATTGATCGTAAAATGTAGCTTCTTAGAAATTGTTTATTAAGTATCCTTTGTGGGGTAGGGTACCATCATGTTGATGGAATACATTTCGATGATCAGCAAGTGGTAAATTATCCATGTAATTGTTTTCTAAATTCCGAATAATGTTCAAATAACCTTCACCTAAAAATATTATTGGGTACTAATAATAATTTTTATAACTGCATAACGTTTTCTTTAGTATCCAAATATTTTTAAATGAGATAAATTAGTACTAATGCTGGCATACTGACCTTATGTGTTAAAAAACTTATACTACTGGTATTTGCATATTGCACATTCTTATCAGCTTCTTTTATAAAAAAAACTGTTAACTGCTAACTTAGCATTTAAGTTTTCTTAATAAAACCGTAGAGAGACAACCTGATTATCTCTGACGATGCAGTATACATTGAATTGCCAGTTGTCTTGAAAGTTGCTTTCTCTTATAACATTAGCCCAATAGTGAGAATTGTATCGATTGAAACGCCCATTTTTTGTACATCTGATCATATTATATTTTTCAGGAAAGAATCATTTTCTTTATACCTTGTAATAATCAATTCGCAAAATTGAATTCTTTTAAAAAAATCGGTGTCCTTTAATTGTTGGACTAATGATAGCTTGTGTATGGATAACAATTGTGTTTGTGCAAAATTCTGCTAATGGTATCTTTACTAAAACCTGACTTCCATGCAGCTTGTTGTAAAGACATCATTGGAAAAGCATAAAAATACCCCAAAACTGTCATTTCAATGGCTTCATCTTAACTAAAGCTTTATTCATTCGAATCTTTTAAAATTTTTTAAATTTCCTATTGCTCGTCTAGAAGTATGTGCGTCCGTTCTTTTTTTATGGATATCTATGAGCAAACACATCACATGTTCTTGATATCACTTTGTTGCATTCACCATAAATAATGAATAGATTTAAATAGTCTTCGTAAGTGAAATTTAAACGCGCGTACATGATTGTTATTAATAATTTGTAAATAAACTGTCTAATGCAGGACATTATATATGACGTTTTTGTAGAGCGCAATTGTTTGTTCTCCGCTTCCCGCCGTCATAGCCAACTAGAAAAGTAATAAATAGCAAATTACTCGAAAAGTAAACATTTTCGGGATAGGTAACCCTGTATAAAGTTACGCTAATTTTTAATGCTTGATGCGATAAACTTATAGGGGGTTTTTATTTGAATAAAACGACTTTTGTCAATTTTTGATATTCAATTTTTGTAGTAATTTTTTGACTACCCTGTATAAATAATTATCGAAATATCATACAAAGTCTATTAAACTATATCCATGCTTACCAGAAAATTAATCCACATTAAACAATACGGTGTTCTTCATTGCTGAAATGAACACCTATTTTAGGGCCTGCAAACGTCACTTTTGACATAAAATTTGAAAGATGTCAAAAACGGTTAGACTTGGGTATAGGAGATTATTCATGAAATGTGATTAGAATTTTATGTAGGATCCGAATACTGAGAAATATTCATGGTGTCAAATTTTAAATAAGCAATTTGGCATCACCTTCCGGCATAACCGGAAGTGCCACTATCTTGAAAATATTTGAGCTGCCGTTGCCCCATCGAGATTCGTATCCTCCCAAATTTTCAAACATGGACAAGATTATTGATAGTAATTATATATATATATAAAGTGACGTTTTTGTAGAGGGCAATTGTCATAGCCAACTAATGAAAAAACTAAATCTGTACTTATAGGAGTTATATAATAGAAAAGTAATAAAATACAAATTACTCAAAAAGTAAACATTTTTGAGATAGATAACCGTGTATAAAGTTACAATAATTTTTAATACTTGATGCGATCCATCTAATGAAAAAATTTGAAAAAATCGTCAATTTTTGACATTCAATTTTTAAACTAATTTTTTGACCACCCTGTATAATAATATCGAAATATCATACAAGTCTATTAACCTATATCCCTGTTTACCAGAAAATCAATCCACATAAGGTGTCATGTTTGACATAAAATTTGAAATATGTCAAAAACGGTTAGACTTGAGTTTAGGAGATTATACTTGAAATGTGATTAGAATTTTCGGTAGAATCCGAATATTGAGTAATATACAGTGTATCCAATTTAAAATAAGCAAGTTGGCATCAACTTCCGGTATAACCGAAAGTGCTACCATCTTGAAAATATTTTAACTGCCGTTGCCCCATCGACATTAGTGCCCACCTCATAGGTGTACATAATAATAACATGATAACAAAATAATTTTCTTAATAGGAATAGTGACGAAAAGGTGAAGTGTCAGCTTACTCCGTTTTTCAACCAGACCTACATATCGCCCCCTTCTACCTCCTTTTAGAAGTCCCTCATATTAACTACCAAAGATGCAATATTTACAGCGTCGTGGCGCACAGCAAGTGCCATCCGTTTCTCGTAAATATTTTTAGGCCAATGCAAATCTATGATGTATGAAAGATTTCTAATAGATGCGTAAAATTATTGGCAGTTGGAAATGTATTAATATAATATAGCATCAAAAAAATGAGGTACCTTCCAGGTTATAGTCGGACCAAGGTTTTGCGGACAGACCCACAGACAGACCGATGAAAATAGGTGAAATAGAATTACGGGATATACACACAAAAAACCTAATATCTCATTTTCAAAATGTCTTGCGAGTGCAATACCTTTATCAAAAAGTCAATTAGTGATTGATCTATACTGAGACTATTTTATCCACAGACGATATCCGTTTCATTTGGAAAGTAAATAACATCCAACATTTAGCATTGTTAGCAAAAATCACGCGTGTAGGTTATTAACTGTAAAAACTGTTCAAAATAACTAGAAATATAAAGCCTAGAATTCGAAACTCCAATCTAATGGTCACATACTAACAAAGTTTTTCAAATTCAGGGTCACTGCCTACTGACTTAATCCAGAAACGTTGATATGACTGTCCTTAGTTTTCAACTGAAGCACACGAAAATGGTTGAATAAGACTATTTGGTCTTTGGACTTAACCACTTTCCGTTCAGGACCATCAAACGTTATTCGTATAGGTGCTGGTTATACTGTAGCATGAAATGACCCTGTTCGAGTAATATTTTTACTACAGATAATCAGTTTAAACGGTTTTTGCAGGTTCAAACATTTCATATTTAATATAACATGCTGAAAATATTTATATTTTTACTGACCCTATATATACGTATACGGAATGACACTATTTAAAAATTGACAAGACAAAAACACAAGTTATTCCACGAACAGTCCAAGAAAACGGCAATTTTGCTCCAGGATATAAAACTTTTTTTGGAAATTATGCAGGGTATCCGCAAAGTTGGAACATTCCTTTACACGGCGTGTAGATCTTGAGAAAATAAGTGGTATTTCCTAGTAGCATATACGCCAAAGTCTTAAGATAACCGAGATAATAGGCTCTGCAAAATGAATCAAACTAAACCAAAACTAATCCGTTCCTGAACCTCGATCACGTTTATTTACCAGTCGTCTCGGAAAAAACAAAAATGGCACACTAGTTCACAAATATAGAATTTTTCGGCATGCCCTAAATTATGGTGAGACACCGAGGCTTCGCGACTGTTAGAAGTTCGCTTTCCCAGACGTTGTCATTCAGGGTCGCCTAGATTTATTTACCTTATGCGAAGAGCTAGGGATACAGGTGGAAGACCCAGACACCCCCAATTGGGGCAAACTGAGAAAGGAGTATTGAATCTTGTAGAAGAAAATTAGTCAACAAGCACTACGTGAACAAGTTCAAGTCTCCAAAAAAGTGTGATAAATGCTGCGTGATGATGGATTGTACCCATTTCTACGACTTCTTCAAGCTGATGATTTTCCTGCAAGAATGCGTTTTTTTCTGAGTGGCT